AATGCTAATTACGTTTCATGTTGTATTCAGTTTTTCAAACCTGTAAAGTTTGCGTGTAAAACAAAACAACAACAAACGCTAAATGCGCACCATGATTCAAGATATATACCATGAAGAGATTTCAATAGTCTTCAGATCCTGCATATTAAGTGACACGCATGGCGCAGTAGCAGGAGTCGCGATTGGTAAGATGGTACACTTGAAAGTTCGAATCCTTACGCGCTTGTCAAATTTGCATTTCAAAAATGATTACGAAATTATTGCAAAAGCTCTGCTAGTTGACTTGAAGAAGCTTTCAGGTTATGCAAACGCGAATTAATACCTTCTTTCTATAAAGGTGCAAAAATGTGTTCAAGTAGCAGGACTTGAACCCGAACGCATGCGCTCATGGGACCGATATCATATCCAATCAACCATCATTGTACATTCGTTGTTTGTCAAGTGCTATTTCTTACATGGGATGTTGAGATCCGAAACGCCTAGATATGTTTTGATGACTTCTGCTGTTTCATTAGCGTTGGTGGCACATGGATAAGACTACCGCTGGCAATTAATCGATAGACCTCTCGGTGCCTATCAAAGACGTAGATTGCGATTAACCACCACGATTATCTTGCAGTTGCTTGGAAAGGATGAGTTTCAGAAACATGCACAGCGATTTTGATATGTATGAACTCTTTCACCCAAAATCTGTTTAGAGAGTTTTGGTTTGATAAATGTTTGTGGATAGCAGGTACAACTCCTGGAGCCGATTTAAAAGAAGCAGCATTGAAACATCATTAGTCTAATATTAAGGTGATGATCTACTCTAGTACATATGAAATCAGAATTTTAGCCTTTTTTTCTGCCAGCCAGCTTACAGTCTTTTAGCAACAGTTGCTCTTGAATAAATGCTGAAATTTGAAATGTTGCGCAATTGCAACCGAATTTATAAAGCCGGAATTGTGGGATTTTCCTTTTCACAGTCTTTTCGATGAAAAGTTCGAGTTAGATTGAACGCTATTTCAACAAACAAGCTTCACAGTTTGATCATATGTGATATCAAACATATTATGATAACCTCGTAGGTTTCGCACGTCAGTGACGCGATGGCGCAGTAGCAAGATTCCTGACCAAGGAGAAAATGAAGTTTGAGTTCAAATCCCCATGTGTTCTCCAAATTTGCATTTCATTATTGAATGTTAATATGGTGTGTATGAGCGTCGGTACTTTATTTGAAAATGTTTGTGGTTATGCAAATGACACAGATCTCAACACGATGCAAAAATACTTCAAGTAGCAGGATTCGATCACGCAATCGTTCGCCCATAAAGCTGACCTCTTATCCACTCGACCACCACTGCACATTAGACTTGCAGTAACTTGAGCACAGTAGGGCGCTGAAATGTGTAACACATGTACAAAACTTCAACACATTGATGATTTTCGACATCTTATGATCACTCTGATCACTTCCGCTATAGTTGATCAGCAATTGGTCGGTGACACTGCAAACATATGGCAGACCATCGGAGATCTTCTCGACAAAAGAACTCGCAGAGCGTCTTCTATGTCTATTTACTAGTTCCACACCAAGTTTAGTAGAGATCTACCTTCATTTACTCAAGTATTGATAAAACTCTTTTATCACTGATAAACTTTGGCGAAAAGATACCAACTTTGCACAAAGTGATATAGTTTGATTACATCCTCCTCAGTGCGCAAGCATTCTACAGTAACTGCAATACTCTTTTCAAAAGAGCAAAATAAGTACTTTTTAAGGCTGGAAAAAAGAGGAAAGTAGTTATCGGCCCGCATTCTTTGCCAAAATTTTTTTGAAACTTTCTCACTTTGATTACCATTTAAAGATAGGTTTAAGCTGTGCAATAGCACGCATAAGATCTTTTTAACTCCAAAGAATTTTTTTCAGGAACTAATATAATAGGAATGCTCAGCAAAAAACTGCCACCTAGCATTTGAGCTACCACCTTATATTTTTCGGAACTGCTCGGTACAATCAAGTCGTGTCTTTTTGATCTTTTCCGCCTATCGAAAATCAGAATTATTCAGAATTTTCAGGAATTCATGTTAAATTCTTTGAGACTGTACAGGGTGTCCCAAAAAGATGTGCATACTGTTTGATTGTTAATAACTCTCCTGCTTTCATGTCTTTTGCCGAGATTGAGATACTATTCTGTAGAGCGAGGTCAAACTTAGATTCGCAATGTAGAGCGAACTACATTGCAAATCTAAGTCTAACTACTGATCGCTCTCCATTGCTGTAGGATTACGATAGGAACTTTGAGGAGGATATCGACCCATTGAACACACTATTTTGCCAGTATTTTGCCTCAGAAAGAAAGCCAAACAAGCCACAAAATCTTGAAGTGGGCTAATTGAAGTCTATGAATCTAAATATGAAACTTGCACTTCAGTATAGTGCTTCTTTGATAAGTTACTTCAGATTTAGGGTAACAACTGCTTTTCCAGCGTTCGTCAAAAATGTGCATACGCCATCAAGGAAGCTCGCAAAACTTTTGAAAAGTCATGTGATGAAGTCAGCACGCCTGAAAACCTAGCTACACGAATTTTCAGACTTTTTTTTTTTGAAATTATTAAATCAAAAGGCCTAATCTCCAGGGACGCTGTATGCTGAAAGTTCATATCGTAATCTTACAGAATGAAGAGTAATTGGTGAATCGCTCCATACTGCAAGCTGTAAATCTAAGAAATCTAATTAGGGCCTCGCTCTACAAAGTGGTTCCTTAAGCTCGGTAAAAGACATGGAAGCAAGAGAGTTATTAACGATCAAAGAGTGTGCAAATCTTTTTGGGACACCCTGTATAGTGGCTGTAGAATAAAATCCATTTCAAAATGTGTAACTGAGATTACCTAGGCAAAAGAACTTACTTAGGACGAACAAGTTCTGCAAATCACTACAAATAGGGGGGCGCTCGTTACGTGCGGTCTGCCAAATGGAAAACGTCGCAACGTGGCGTTAAAGTAACCGCGTGCGAGAAGCAGTAGTGCAGAAAACTTGTCAGATTTATACCACTACATTACCAATGCTTCTCCTATATTGTTAGTATTTTACCTTCTTCAATTTGTGTCTTTTTTTATCCTTCAAAGTGCTCATTTTACAACTTTTACGGCAAAACTTCAAATAACTAAGCAAAACTAATATGAGAATAGTCTGTGAACCTCAACAAAGGATGAGAAACTGAAATACTATGTGCTGCGGATCATGCTTGCTGAATTTCCCGGGTCTGGTCACTGGCAGCCTGTCGCGCGCGACGTTTTCCAATTTGAAGCCCGCACGTAACGATACGCCCCCCTACAAATACAGGATGTTTAAGAAGCGCCTGGCCTAAATTTCATCTTGACGCTTTCTTTGTGGCTCTTTTGAATTTTTTATTGGATTAAAGCTCAACCACTACAGCTCCCCACCCCTCTTTTCTTATGCCTGTCAGAAAGAAGAAAATATGTTTCACAGAAAATTTTGTACATTCGGAAGCCTTTTCCTTTAATTTCTTGCATGTGCATTCATTGCCGTAAAAATGATTTCTTTCGAGAAACTGTGCTTGAAAGACAAAAGACAGCTTTCTTTTTTGAGAATTTGAACTCAATCTCATGTAGATCGAGTTTCAAAATTTGCTCGTCAAAAAATCGGCCTCCAAAATTTTTGTATTTTCAAATCTTTACAACCCTGCAAAAGTTTAAAAGACGAACACAATGAGAGTTAGGGAATTGTGTTACAAACACATTAAATAGGTTTTCCAGGAATTTTTGAACCAAAACCTCAACACAAAGTTGCACGATTGTCTGCTATAATTTGATGACTTGAAAAATCTTAGTTCGCTAGCTACTGTAGAACATTTGTTATATGAAGAGAGTTTAATTTGAAAGATCTTCAAATTATCTTGAATTAGACCAAAAATCCCGAAATATCAATTTTATGTCACTGACTCTTACACCTGCAGACAATATAAATTTCATCAGCAGTTTGCCGACTTCATACACGTTCTCTAATTTCTTTCACGTTATTCCAATTACATCGTTACAAAAGAACGCCTTGATTTCCTAGGATGTATAGGCATTGCTCTCACAACTCATCAAAACCGGAGTTGTCGGAGGTAATATGGCCTGCGGTACCGTAGCAGCATTTTTGATCCTTATCCATATCAATGACGAAAACATAATCCGTGAGTAGAAGTGCTAACAACTTTACTCAGGACCTGGCACCAGCTGGTACGGGGCAAGCCGGATATCGTTTTTTGGGGGTTTTTTACGTTAAGGGTTTAGGATCAAGGGGGACTTCGTAAACTTAGCGAAAATCAATGGGACTTCGTTTTGAAAATTCCCTGGTGCCAGCTCGTGCGGAGCCCTGACTTTACTGAATGAGAGTACATGAGTACTGCATTTCGCTCTTCAGAAGACCGTCTATTTGTGCTATTTTCTTCTAATCGAACATTATATCACAAAGTTTTAGACCTGACGCTTTCCCCTTCCCTCTCCCATCCTCCCCTCCTCTCCTCCCCCCTGCTTACTCTATGACGAATCAAACGAAGTTGCTCTGGTTGATGAAAAAAGATTCAGAATGAATTTATAGGGGTATTCTCAGTTACAGAAATAATTATTTCTTTTCGCTCCCAACTCTCCTACAAAAAGTCAGTGTTTACACTAGTTTCTCAATTTTTTTCAATTTACAGCGCAATTTTGCGAAACTGCCGAGTCTTTTTCCTAGTAATAAAGCACCAAAGCTATTTCCAAAGTTCATGTCCAAAAATTAATCGCAATACTGATCAGTATCACTTATTCATATAAGAAGAAGGTCATACGCGGGATTTTTGATCAATGAAGAAAAACTAAAGAAGAAAGAAAGAGGGACCTTGCACAAAAAAGTTCTATAGCCATGCCAAAAGAAATCTGAAAAGTTAATATTGGGTTTATCTCAAGGTGATAATATCGCGTCTTCTCTTAACTACTCAACCCCAGGATGCATCGATAAGCATTACTTGCAGGTTTGTCCCATGATAAGGGAACTCGCCTTACTAATGGTTTTGTACATTCTGGTCCCCTACACTCGAAGTAGAATGGACTGGTGCCAGTACTTTCGGTTACTCGAAGTTGATCACTTACGCCCAGAATGTAATGGTATCTATAGAAAACGCGTGGTTAAGCAGATTGGTAACACACAACTTCACAAAAATTTTGGGCCTAGATTACATTCGAAAAAAATTTTTTGTTGCAGTCCATCCCTCGGTTGGCTTACCACCTCTGCCACGAGATTTACTACCAGGGTTCCACCGTTTCAAGCAACATCGAGACTCCGTCGCAGAACTTACGAGGAGGACGCTTGGTTTACGTAAGCTTCCATTCTTGGACGTATTGATGACTTGGAGAGAGACACTTTTGTGATTATTTTACCTGAGCTTTAAGAATATAGCCAAACAACTTTTCTCGAGTGGTTATCTGGGCAGAAAATAAGTAGGCACGGCTGTGAATCGGATTTTGTCATGCTGACTCCATGTCAAAGAAACTCTGCTATTTAAAAAAGCCGTATTGTGTAGTCTCAAAACGATTTTATAAGCGAAAGTGAGCCTTTCCGTTTCAGTGTGGGCAACCTTATTATTTACAGTACAGCTGCACCCTTGCTCAATACTCTCTCAATTTTTTCGTTCCGATTCCTTCGTTTTTATATACCACACCAGAGATGCTGCCTAAGCAAGCTGCTACCTTTAATCATTATACTTCTGTTGTATCTGTGCCGCATATCCTCTGGTGCATTTTCGTGCTGTCATCCCGCTTGCTTCTTGAGAATCGTCTGTGAAACAAAGTTTTTATGACAACAAGGGAATGGTCAGAAGTCAAAGTGGCCAATTAAAACAAGTTGCATACCAAGATGCAGCATAAAACGCTGACTTCGAATCTGTATTGCATATCTGCTTAGCGCCTATATAGGCGAGTTATGAGCAGTTAAAGCCCATTGATTTGCTAAGAAATGCATGCAAAGCGAAGATTTGGCAGTTTAATCGATTTGAAAGTAGGGATGAATTAAAAGTTATATATGGGACAGTGCGCTGGATCATGGCGCTTAAAGGGCCGGGCATACTTCACGCGATTTCAGTCGCGACTCGATTTGGCAATATTCTAACTGTCCATAACTCACTGTAAGCACATTTTATATATTCATAAGATAGGGAATTTTAACAATCCACGTAAGTTATACACACTATGTATGTATGTGCAGCCTGCTAATGTTGGATCTGAAGACTTCTGACGAATTGCCAAATCGCGTGAAGTATACCCGGCCACTTAACTCAGTGGAGATGTTCGATTCTGAAATATGCCAGCACTTCTGAGCGGATTACAATATAGCACGTAAATTGTGGAGAATGGTCGCGGCAAACGCCTGATTTCGCCAAACTTCGCGTCGCATCGCCATATACGCTTCATAGGACGAAATCAGAATCTAACGGCACCAATCGACTCAGCTCTACGAGACGTATCTTCGTAAATATAGATATCTCTATTAGGTTACGAAAGGCACGCGGTGCTTGCAAATTTTGTGAATCCTTCCAATTTTTGCTAACGGTAAGTTATTCAGGGTGCTTAATCACTGCGCATTGGCCACTCCAACGTCAGTGAGATTGAAATTCATTGGTGAACTGACTGCTTACCATGCACATACCGTACACAAACAGCTATGTACACCTGCATATATCAAAAGATTTCTCCTCGTCGAACTGAGTCGGGTTGTGCCCTGATTGAAGTTCGTTAACAAGGAAGAAAAATATGGCGATGAGGCGCGAAGTTCGGCGAATTCAGCGGCCACCGAGATTAACTTTCACAAATTGCGCAATTGTATGCGCTGAGCATTGATTTCAACTCGCAATCAACACTCAGTAAAAATGCAGATTTTTGCACCGCATTTCAAAAATTCAAATGAGTGGAATCACTATCTGTCTAAACATTTACAACTTGTATAGACGATTATTCCAATTTCAAAAAAAATTTATCCGAATAAGTTGCGGTCAACATAATTAAGACATTTAGCATTGTTTTTTTAGGCAATTGTTCTGGATCTGTGTCGAATTGTCGTGAATCACGGCTATGCCACAAGGGTCTCATGTGCTATGCATCTCCTGGCTACTGCTGCTTAGATCTTCAGAGGTACTGACTGCAAGTAAAAAGAGAGACACACAGAACGTCGCTTGTTTCAGGATAACATCGGCGGATGACTGCATCTCCGACTTGAACGATCTCCAGTGCAATAATTATCCTCATCCTTCTGCCTTATGTTTGGGAGATTACCAGTGCAGTCATACGCTTAGGGGAAAGTGCTGCCCATCTATCTGTGGACACAGTGTATGTATATAAAGATGGAATACATGATAGTCGTTGCCTTTGGTCATGATCCAAAGTGGACCTCTTGTTTTAGCAATGTGTAAGATTATCAACGTTAGATCCAAGTACATCCCACAAAGAAGCAACAGCATAGCTTTGTAAGACAAGACGTTCAAGACCAAAATCGGTTTAAATTGTATGCAGTTCTCCCCAAGTTCGTCGATGCAAGTAGTGGACAAGCGAAACTGTGAGCGCTGCAGCGGCAAAAACAGAACTAACAGTATTTTGATCTGCCAAAATCTGTGCCCAAAAACCATAGAGCGAAGGCAGTACTACGTTTATTTGACTTGAGATGATCTTCATCTCCAGAGCAATTGGATATGATAAGTTTATAGACGTACGGAATTTCGATTGAGTGACATTAACCATTTTCTCATTATTTTTAGATGTTTGACTTACAGCATGTCTACTTGACATTCCTTACATTCGAGAGAGAGGGATGAAAAGTAACTTTGAGTTTTTGTGAAGGCTTCAAGAACACCCTTTTGGAATACTTTTCAATAGCCAAAGGCCAATGTTTATAGTGAGCGCCCAGATTTTCGGATGGGATAAAGAATATTCTGGAGTTTAGAATCATCAGCTTCGAGCATAAATATTGGCAGCTTTGACCAGTCGCATCTCATAGTGTCCGAACCTGCGAGTCAGCACCTCGATTTCAAGGAAGTTCGCCAGCGCATGTAAAACCAAACCAATAAACTTCGTCATACATGATAGTTAAAAGAAGTGGCTGGCTAAGTTTTGCACGTTCCGCATTTTTCAATTTAGAAAATCTAACTTCTTGCAAAATCAACATTTTTTCGAAAAAATTCGCCTAGATTAAGTAAAATTCGCTCCCATTTGGGTATCAAATCCTACGAAGAAAGCAGACAAGAAGTAAATAGCAAAATATCACAATGTTTTTTCCTTGAATCTGGGTCGGTAGTAATCTGGTCGAAACTCCGAGTTTAAAGCATCGAGTTGATTCAGCGATAAGTCTGTCGAGCCCGGTAAGCTCCTTTTTTTAAGACTCAGGAGTGATTTTGGTCGATACCATCGTTTCACCCAAGTTTTTATAATACGAGGCAACCAACAGCTTCACATTATACAGGGTGTCCCAAAAAAATGTATCGAACGTTTGATCGTTAATATCTCTCTTCCCAAGAAGTCTTTTGCCTTGCTTCAAGTACCATTTTGTAGAGCTGGCTTCAACTTAGACTCACAGTATGGAGCGAATCACTCATCTCTCTTCATTACTGTAGGATTACGGTAGAAACTTGAAACATATGGTGTCAATGTGGAAAAAGCTGCCGTTTCAAACTTTTTCAAAAAAATGTGAAAACTTTTGTGATAGGGTTTTTTGGACGCTGAGTTCAATACTCAACTATTCACGGGATTACGAAGCCTTCTAAACGGTGTAACCGCACTTTTTGGGAACATTGAAAAAATGGCCGCAACCACCTGGCATAACTCTTCAATGAAGCGTCATAATAAATTGAGAGCTTTACAGTTATAATCAGCAACTCAAATTAGCCTAGTGTAAAGGTTTTGAGGCTGTTTTGTTTCCTTTCCGAGGCAAAGCATGGGCTTTCATTGCTTAAAACCCTCTTTGAAGTTTCTACCGTAATCCTACAGTAATGAAGAGAGATGGGTGATTCGCTCCATACTGTAAATCTAAGTTGAAGCCAGCTCTACAAAATGGTACTTGAAGCAAGGCAAAAGACTTCTTGGGAAGAGAGATATTAACGATCAAACGTTCGATACATTTTTTGGGACACCCTGTAGTTCCAATGAAACCATGAAGTAACCAATCGAAAAGGATGGATTTCTGTGGATTTCAATGGATTCCGTTTTTCAGCTATCCTCAAAATGTGAATTCACCATTCACAAAGCACAGAATCACGTAGTGCATAAAAATTAGCACGCTTGGAAACCCTGAAGCACAATACTCCAAATTTTTTCAGAATATATTTTGAAGCCACTTTGAGCAAGCAATTCCATTTCCCTATGGAACTGTATTCCCAACGTTCTTACTATAATTTTACAGCAATCAAAAGCAGTCGATGATTTGTTTTATACCAGAAATTTAATTGTAAGTTGAAGCCAGCTCTATAAAACTGTATTTGGAGATCGGCGGAAGGCTTTAGGACAACGGGCATATCCGTTTTGGGGCATCCTCCATTGAGGGACTTTTTTCTGGAAAGATCATTGGGCGTGCAATGGTGAACTTTTTAAACATGAGTAACCCATAGCTACTCAGAAGTAGAATAAATACGATAATTGCAGCTTTCAGATTTCAGATCTCCGTTTGCGAAACCGATCTGTAACTGTTGTTGTTTTCCAAGTGATGACAGCTGTTCAGGGTTTTTTGTCCCAAGACCCTGACCCATATATCATACACTTTTGTCTTGAACTTTCAAAGCGTATATGTTATCCTTTGATTAGGCGATGTCAGCTAGTGAGTCCTTCAATTTTATGTCGCACGTCAATCTACTAACATGGTAAGCTAAATATGGAGTAAACTAGTTGTGCCGAAAGTTCATAGATCTTGGTCGATCAGACCAGATTACCAGTTTGCGTATGCTATTTTTAACAATGGTAAAGATGATAAAGTTACTTATCGGCTGTGCTATACGTTACAGTATCAGTGGCTTTATATCAATGCACTAAAAGATTTGCTTTTTTATTCATGGTAACCATTCTTTTTAACCCATACTGTTCAACCTGTGACTTTGTTCTTGCAACAACGAGAAAAGGCTCAATGAAGCTTGTGCAAGTACTAGTAAGACAATTTTTTTCAATAATTTATGAATCTTTATGCAAATAAAAATAAATTTGCCTTATAGTGCACCAACAGTGAACAGGCGATTGAAGGTTAAAAGTGAATGATATATAAAGTAAATAAATAGATTTTGTCTACATTCGTAATCGAAATGCTTTTAGGAAAATTACGAAATTATAACTGATTCAAGGAATCGGAATCATAGCTGCTTCTACCATTACTATAATTCTGATGATCATTTGGAAAAACTTTTAGGAAGCGTGACTTGCCGCGCCCTTCAAATCACAAAAAATTTTTGTCGCCCCTCCCCTCCGGAATTTTTCAGAAGTCTCATTTTGAAAAATGTTGGATAGTGCCGTAATAAGATTTTCCAGTTCCTACTATTATGTGCTTGCAAAAAAATACAGTTAGCTACAATTCCCGGTGTACGTGTGGAGAAAACAGTGTATGATTGAATCTAACCCCAGCTGGAACTTCCTTCTCCAATTTTCGCTGCGTTTGGAATTTTTGCAGCCCTTTCAGCGTCTACGCTCGTCACTTCTGCACCAGCGAGTGATTAGGCTCTAAGCAGTTGCTTTGTTTGCCGGGCATATGGAGCGCATGTTGTAGTCCGCGTCAATACTGTGTTTACGAATGCACAATTGAACCGCTGCAGAAGCACTGGCCAAGACGCTTCGATGACGCTTCGCGTGCTGATCTGCGGTTAGCTGCTGATGTCATCGAACAGCCTTTAATCGCTAGCCTTTGATCTAGGCGGCCGTCTTCAGTCACCCGGGATAAGCGAGAACACTCTAATTCATGCAAATCAGTTGCCATAAGGATATCTGCTGGTATTGCGAAACCAGTCCTCGATGCTTCTTTCATGTTTGCAAAAATATCAATTGTTCGTCCTTTAGTTCAAAATGCTTACTTCAAAATCATTTACTCTTACTGCCTTCAATTTTTGCTTGCTCACGAAAATTCGTAACCATAGATCACATTGGAAGCCGTTTACGCGCGGCATCATATTTCTAAACAGTCGTCGAGTACCAGATAATTGAAAATAAATGAGAGTCTCTAATATTCTCATTTATATATATTAGCAATGACAACGTTGTAGTGAGCAATCTTTCATGGCTTTCTATATTTGTAATCTAGTGAGAGCTTTCCCTTTTTGTGTTAATTCTTCCTGTGAATCCTCTCTCTCTCGCTAGCATTTGAATCCCGCTCTATTGTAGTTTCCTGCAGCGTCAATCAGTTCATCCATAAGCCCTTTAGTAATTTGAGTGAAAGCAAGTTATAGTTTCATTTTAGAAATGTCGTTTTCTCAAACGTTCAAACTTTCACTTCAATGTGCAACATTGAGCTTTTCGCGCATGAAATTTCGCTTGCATATTTGGAAAATAATTTTGATATACCTGATCAGATGCTGAATTTCGTACATATAGCATCTGTAAATATAGTGACCGGGGAGTGTAGGAATGAGCCTTTTTTCTGCCATATCTAGCCTTTTTCCATTTTTTAACCTGTTACTTAATAGACTATACCTCTTTCTCTATCGCTATTCTCTGAGCCTACAGTTCCAAACGTACTGTACTCGCCAGAAGTTCCTACACCTGTTGTCTGGTGATTACGCATGTTTTGTTGTCATGACAATCTTGTTTTCCTACGTGGGATACATTCAAGGTAATCGTGAAGAATTAGAGAATTTTACAAAACTGCGTATGTAGAAACAGCACAAAAATACCTTACCTCGTATTAGTTTGAACCGAAACCGAAAGTTAGTTTGCTCCGTTTTTGAGAATTTTTTGGGAGTTCATTTTATTGGGAAGAGAAGCTCAGGTACATTCTAACGGAGCGCAGAAAGCTTTCTAACACACAGGTCAGAGATAAAAGCGTAAGAAAGAGACCTTCGGGCTTAGATGATTTCAAGCCAGCTCGCCAAAATTCGGGAAACATTGCAGTAAGATCAAAACAGTAAAGTTGCATGGCTTCCTCCCTCTCTAATTAAAACGATTCGTGTTGCCTGAAAAAACGCATGGCAAGTACGATTTTTGGGAAAATGCCGAAAAATCAATTTCGTAAGACTTTTGAATATCATAACTTCTAGTAGAGATGCTTGATAAGAACAAATTTGCTTATTTAAAGGGAGTTACAAACTTTGATGTCCGTTGCAATACGTTGTTTTGCTATGTTTAGTTCTGGTACGCTTGTCGAAATCATGAAATCTTGAGGTAATCTTCTTTCTCCGCTTTTATCTCCGTGAGAGTGCGTAA